GAGTGGAAGACTGAAAATCTGATCCACGATGTCTTGAATGTTTCTAGAGTCACTATCAAGCTTTCTAGGCTAAAGAAGAATGCTGCACATTATGAGGATGATGACTTCAGGGATTATATCACGTTGTTCTCTTTGGCCATCTTGTTTTTAGTAAGTATTTCCTGGTGGGGCATGATGTCTCAAAGGACCAACGTGAGCCCTCTCTGGAGTGTGCAAGCATCCTTGCTTCATTACATTTACAGCTCCCTGATAAAGTGTGACTATGGCCTGGATACAAAGAGAGGAAGAGCCTCTTTATCTACCACAAATATGTCTCCTATTTCTAGATAGTATTTTTATTGTCAAAATTTCTTCAAAATTTCTAGGATATTGCATAATGTGGAAGGATAAATCTAAAATATATTTCCTATAATTCTGCTAGTAGAACTTACATGTTGATCAAAAGGAAATGTCCCTGTTTTGGGATTAGATAAAATGATGGTCTTGACTGGATTGGTAGCTAGTTATGAAAACAACTTTCTTACTTCGGAGACATCCTTCTGAGGTATTTGCATCAATTTTATTTACAAGCCATAAATATGATTTTAGTACATAGTTTTTTTTGACTTAATATCATTTTCAAATTTAGAATGGAGATTACTGAACTCTGGGGAGAGTAGGCAGTAGGGATGGATGGGGTAAACTGATCAAAGTTAACTAAGTTGTTGTGAAATGGGAACAAGAAGTTCTGGTTTGTTATTGCAAGTAGTATGACTATAGATAACAACAATGAAATTTATGTTAATAACCCTAAAAAGAGAATTATGAAACTTTTCACCACAAGGAAACAAATGTTTGAGGAGACAGACATGTTTAACCTGATTTAACAATGTACACATGCACTGAAACATCACATTAATCCCTCCAATATTTACAATTTTGATGGTTTTATAAATTGGCTAAAATATATCTAAATTAAAAATATAAACTTAATTTTAGTATGTCTTTAGAAAATGTCTTGAGGTATTTTGATTTTAATTTTCTTTTTCTAGAGGTGGAAATAGAAACATAGAGATAAAACTTAAGTTCAAGGATGTATGATATGTTTGTAGCAGATTACATTGGATTAGTGTCACCATAGAGCATAGAAAAAGGAGCAGGGTAATGCATTTCTGAGAAAGAGACTAGCAGCTTGTTAGAAATTGGCTAATGAGGTGCTTCGGAAAATACCAATGCTTTGGTGAACTGATGGAAATTTAGGATCCTCTCATTCAGTTTTGTGGGCTTAAAATACTATATATTTAAACTGCATCTCCTTAACAGTGATGGGCACAGTGTTTAGATCAGATAGAAGCAGATAGTAGCAAAATGTCTTTGCCCATGGAGAATGCTTAAATTTGCATCATAATAAAATTTAATTTTTGTAACCCAACCCTTTCACAGTTCAATTTTCTTCTCCATCTTTTCATGCCACTTTTGAATAAGCAGAATTAGTTAATAAAAGAAAAAAAAACTAAAGAGAAAAACGTGTATGAATCGAGTTAGTGAGTGAGTACTCTATGCCCAAGGATCAGCTATGGGCATCACACTGGGCAGTTCAGAGAAACAAATACATGTACAGACTAAGTATTAACAGAAGTTTAATGATAGCTTTGAAGACTTCCAATATTCCTTTCTCCTATAAGTAACATTGAAGTGCTTTATAATGCCTAACCAGAAGGCGCTAATGCACATCAATTACACATATGCTTATGTATAGCTGGGTCCATCCTTTAGATGATAAAAGCATTCTCTGCACTTCTTTCCATATCCCACCTGTCCTCAGGTCTGCATCTGACCCAGAATCACTATCCTGAGATTAAACTGTAAACACTGGTGCTGTCCATTTCTCAGTTGGTCTAATTCAGTGAATATCCCCAGACCAAAAGCTACATCACAGCTTGTAGTTTCCAATGATTCTATTTTTAGTCCTTTCTCAGCATTGTTGTCAGCCCTTACTATTTATCACACATCTACCTGTTATTGGCACCATCTGTATCTTCCTATTGTAACCCCCTTCTCCACCTACCTCCAGATCAGAGCATTCAGATACATTTGCCTGAAATAGGAATGGATTTTTTGGGGGGTGAGATGGTGTCCTACTTACATTAACTTGGTGCAAACATCAGGCATTAAATATCTGAGGACTTTTCACAAGACCTGTGAAAAGGTCTGGAAGTTTGAAGCTATAAATAAAAATAGCAGTTCTCATCAAGGCAAGTAGTTTAGGAAAAAGTTAAAAGTTATGAATGTCACACTGAAGAGCTGACTTATAAGGGGGAGTGATCATGTACCAGTGACTACACATGTGCCATTTCCTACCTTTCAGTCTAAACCCACGAGATCTGCAGTGAGGAGTACTGAACTGGAAGCACCTTGGCTCATATCCTGGTTCTGTCACTACAGCTTCTTGGGGATATCACATCTCCATTCTCAGACTCAATTTCTTTCATCTGTGATAGTAGGAATATGGATACCATCAAACTTATTGTGGAGATAATGAAATATGTTTATGAAAATCATACCTCCAGAGCCAAGCTGGCCACCTGGTGAGTCCTCTGTAAGTATCTTCTCTGATTTTATCATGGTCAGCAGAGTCCCTGGCTCTACTGTTGTCTCAATGTTCAGATAATCATATATTTACAGCAAATGTGATCTCACTTCCTTATGACAACATATCTGAAGTGCACAGAGAAATCTATGGAAATATCTAATTCTAAGGACACAGAATTATTTCCCAAGGTGAACGAGAGGGTCAGTGATCACCCTGAGAGCAGATCCCTTACTTCAGTTTTCAGTGTTCATCGCTGGAATCCCTAGATGGCTACACATAGATCACAGTTCTGGCATTCTCTCTGGATAAATGCATTATAAACAGGTAGGTAGGTGACAAGGCTTTTGACCGTGAAAGTCATGTCTTTTCATTTCATATCCTTAATATGTAGCATAAGGTCTGAGACATAGTTTGTATCCAATAAATATGGATAATAATAAATAATACAAATGGATAGAGCAATAGAAATAATAGCCAATAAGAAATATTTAAATAATAGCCATTTCTCTATACACAAAGTTAAAAATTTGGCAAATACTGGGCATAGTGTTAAATGCCTGTAATCCCAGCACTCTGGAGGCTTGCAAGTACCATGCCAATTTGTGCTACATAGTGAGACCCTATCTCAAAAACAAAATACAGAAAAACTAAAACAAGCAAAAAGCTTAGAAAAATTATCTTCAATATGTTTAAAATTGAATGAAATAGTATGTGAAAATTAAATATATCTCTGTATAGAATATAAAATAATGTAAAACTTTTCATTTTTGTTTTTATTCATGTGTATAAACACATACATACACACTTCATTTATTTTGACACTTGATCTTATGCATAGCAGTGCAGTCTTTGTGTATGCTCACTGAAGTAGCACTGAGCTTAATGTGGTTTTCAAGTGTCTGAGAAATATCTTTTATACACATGTCTTTAAGCACTACTCCTCATTGATTTTGGTATGGGGCATACATACATTTTGAAATAGTGCTGTGTTCATTATGGCTTGTGAATAGCTCTCATAGGAGCATCTTTTTACCTTGCAATTAAACATCTCTCTAAAGGCATTGCATGTATTGCCCATATCCTTTCAGAGAAATAATTCTGCTCACTAAACAGAATTCATTTAACAAACATTTTTGAAGAATATGGTAGATATTAGTGGCATAAAGATAAATAAAACATTATATTCCATATGCCTTGTGTTAATATTGCATAAGTAAACAGATTTTGTCATAGAAAGTGAATGGAAATGTGACTTTTCTTTGAAGATTTGTTATTTGAATAACATCTGAAAGGATGCGTAAACATGTCCAGTCAGATACAGTGAGTGTATATTATGAAAAGACTTGGCAATGAAAAACCATGGCTTAAGTTTGGGAATTGGGTCTGGTTTTGTGTGGTTGGGAATAATGGGCTCAGAAGCAGGCAGAACAGGCTTGCACATGATGCTTAGGCACTATCATTGAAGTGCTTGAAAGCCATATGAAGGCTTTTTGACTGTACCGTTTAATACTCCAAGACATACACCAAACACACTGTTCACACACGTGTCTTGTCTCTACCATAGGAGAGGCACTCTCTCATCATATCTCCCCACTTCCTACAGGATGAGAAGAGCCACTCATCTCCATATCACCAACAGAAGCACAGTGGAATCCTGTAATTCGTTCAGGGAACACAGGTATGACCCCTCAACAAGGCTTGTACTTTCCAAGTAATGTCTACTAACATTTATGATCCTTGAGAAAATGATTTTAATTTGCATTCAAAGTGCCTTGTTCTATTACATGGTACAGTCAATACATGCAATAATTGCTCCCCAGGTTTAGTTCCTGTTTTGTCTTTGACCTCAATAACATACTTCTTTAATTCTGTATTCAAGCAGTGCTTTATGCCAAGGCTGCATTCCTTCTCATCCTTTTGAGCAAGATATAGGAACTGTCCTGTCTCATCCCAAACTCTCACCCTACAGATTGCTCACCCTCCTGTGTATTATTGCAATGCAAGGATGTTAACATGTGCATTTTGACATATGCCATCATGAATCTACTTATTCATGCATTTGGTATATTCTATGAGTGTACTGTATTCTTATAGTTTTCATAGTTCCAACGTTTCCTATAATATTTCAATGCTTTTACATTGAAAAAATTGATGTTGATAAAATTGGGGAAAACTTCATTCCTGGTTGTTTTGTAAATTTTGATTTATCCTAAAGGTATATGGAAAATCTAAAGCCACCAGATTGGATATGACACATGGTGGGATAATCAAGGATAGCACAGTGATATTCTGTATTTTGACCTATTCTCTTCATATATTTCCAACTATTTCTCAATACCTAGCTCTGAATAGTCAAGGGTTTGACATAAAATCCCTGGTGTTTCAGCCTGATGTGATTTCATCTCAGGAATGAATAATCAAAGTAAGGGTAATGTGGTGGACTAACGACAGTGCCTTCCCGGGGTTCGTTCTGGTTGGTTTTTCAGACCGGCCTCACTTAGAGCTGGTTCTTTTTGGGCTAATCTTGATCCTTTACCTTATGACCCTTTTTGGAAATACTGCCATCATTCTAGTGTCCCTCATGGATGCTAAGCTCCATACTCCCATGTACTTCTTCCTCTCCCATCTTTCCTTCCTGGACCTCTGCTTTACCAGTAGCATAATTCCTCAGCTTCTAGTCAACCTGTGGGGCCCAGATAAATCCATCACCTATGGAGGCTGTGTGGTTCAGCTGTATGTCTCCCTTGCATTGGGATCCACTGAGTGTGTCCTCCTGGCTATGATGTCCTATGATCGCTATGTGGCTGTCTGCCGTCCCCTCCATTACACTGTCTTAATGCACCCCCGTCTCTGCACAACCCTGGCGTCTATGGCATGGCTCAGTGGAGTGGCCACTACTCTGGTACAATCCACTCTCACAATGCAGCTGCCTTTCTGTGGGCACCGCCAAGTTGATCATTTCTTTTGTGAGGTTCCTGTGCTCATCAAGTTGGCTTGTGTGGATACCACTTTCAATGAAGCTGAGCTCTTTGTGGCTAGTGTCTTATTCTTGGTGCTGCCCTTGTCACTCATTCTGGTCTCCTATGGTTATATTGCTCACGTGGTTCTCAGGATTAAGTCATCCACTGGACGACAGAAAGCATTTGGGACCTGTTCTTCCCACCTCACGGTTGTCATCATCTTCTATGGAACCATAATTTTCATGTACCTGCAGCCAGCCAAGAGTCTATATAAGGACCAAGGAAAGTTTGTTTCCCTCTTTTACACTGTGGTAACCCCCATTCTTAATCCTCTTATTTATACTCTGAGGAATAAGGAAATGAAGGCAGCACTGAAGAAAATTCTTGGAGAAAATTATGATTGAGTGGGACTTTCTGATTATCAACAGACAATTTGGGAGAGCCATGTTAAGATTTTTCTTTTAATGGATAATGATTCAGGAAATGACTGTGTCATGTTCTTGACCCTGCAAATGAGTTTCTCTAGAAAAATTTTTTAAATGGAGCTTGGATTTCAGATTTGGACATATTGAGTGATCTGAATATTTTGGATATCCTTGAGTCCCTTTCATATGGGGTTGCATATTAAGCAACATAAATTAAAATGAGATTGCTCTTCTAGACTGCTTACTGTTTATAATTTGTTCTGTTTCATAGTTTTAATCAGATATTACTAAATGAATATTACTATAGTTTTTCCTTTGCAGAGATTGAAATATTTTGTGTTTAAATAAATAATGCAAAGTGTAAATTCTAAACTTCATTAACTATGTTTTTTCCTTTCGACTAACCATGTATTCCATTTGGGCTCCATTGCATACTGAGCTGACCTCCATGGGTGCACATCTTAGAAGTGTCTGAGCTTTTGTATTTCTCTCTTCACTGTGTTTTTGACCATAGCAACTCCGTTATGACTTACTTTTAAAACAAAATCTTTACACAGGTGACTCGCAGATTTACATTTCAGCGTAGGCATTTTCTGCCTATATCCTCATATTCAACCATGCTCATTCAACTGTTCTGCCTGTGTACAGTAAGAGCAACTTGAAATATCACATCTCATCTAAACTACAAGCTCCTATTTCTGTTTTTTTCTTATGATTTTTAGTATATGTATCTCTGGCCCTTTCTCTCACCTGATTTATGTAACATATGCAAATTTGTGAACTATACATTTATTGTATCTTACTTGACTCACTTCCTTTCCATTTTAACCATCATCTGTCATGGGGAACCCTGACCTGGCCTCCCCACTAGATAAGGGGCACTCATTTAATGACTTAATAAGCACCTCTTTCATACCTTTGTTCTTCCATACATTATGAAGTTTGTACAATTTTTAGTATCTTGGAACTTAAGTGTCTCTTAAGAACTGTATTAATTTATTCAACAATTATCGAGATATGGGCACAGATTTTACAAAAATCAGTACCTACACTTTTACAGAGTTTATACACTAAGGGTCCAACTCAATTTTTGGTAGCTTTTCTCTATGTGAAAGCATCTATTATCAGATGATCAAAGTCAATGTTATGGAAAATGTTACCCTAATTTTTAGCAAGTTATTTATAAAATTAAATCTGTATCAATTGAACTAAAAGAGTAATAGCTACACATTCTTCTTTTCTATGGATTATTGGCACTAAATTGATAAAGGTACAAAGCAACATTATCTGGGCAGTGACAATTCACTTTGAAGAAGGATGACAAAGTTTTTATTATACTCTAAATTACAAGTATATTAATAAGTGCAAGAGAAAGGAAGGAATCTATGGGTGACATTTAAAAGGATGGTATCTTGTAACTGAACTCAAATATTCTTCAAATGGTACTACTCAATCAACCCAGAAGACACCGCCTTTGAAGTTAGTAGATTTATCCACGTGACATAGTACAATGTGGTTGGAAACAGAGTTCTTCTTTGTACTGAAGAGGCCACAGAGTATCTCTGAACTGCAAGTAAAATGGGACTTAGTGACCTAGACAAAATATATCACACAGGAAAATGAATCAATTAATCAAGATACAGAGTTTGGAAATTGTTGGCAAGCATGATCACACAGGCAATGAAGGGAAAATGAGGACACTTGATTTTAAATAATAGTAAAACAAAAGTTAATTTTGTTTTACTATTTTTTAAATAATTTTTGAATTTAAAAAATTTTAAATAATAAATTTTAACATGTTATATTAAATTAGTTTTAACTGGTACATAATCACAAAAATTGTATATTTTGATGAGTTATCATTTGATGTGTCAAATTTTTTTACCCTTCTTCAAAAAAGTTGAGGTATCATAAGAGCAGAAAGTAGGAATAGGAACAGAAGTATTAATTCATCTTTGTGAGCATGTATAGGGGCAATTTAGTATGGCAGGAGTAGCATGGCATACTAGATGGAAATGATGACTGTGGGGCATTTTTCCACGACACACCCAGAATACTGTGCTTTAGACATTTTCATCAGTTACATTTCCATGGAGGAAAGATGGTAATTCTCTAATCCTTCTGGGACTTAATGATGTCATGTCAACATCAGCCATTTCTCCTTCAGAGCACACACTCTCCTGACTGAGGAGGTTGTCCCTGGAGTTTCTCACACTCAAATGATTTTTTTGACGTATGGAGGGACTGGAGTGGCTCACTTTCTTCTGACACATTGCCAAGCAAACTCCATCCCCTAATTTAGAAGCCACAGAACTTGGTCATTTGAAGGAAGTGGGTCCATGCTATGTCACAGACTGCATGTATAGTATGGCATCTTCTTCAGCTATTGCAGATTAAGCCCCTACAGAAGCAGCTTCTAGCCTCTGTGATACTATGCCAGTGTGCCACACTCCCAGAAGATGGTTTTGACATCTTCACATAGCCTTCCCAATAGAATAGAACAATCAGGTATTATCATCCTACACTTACTGAGGTCTGTCTGATTCATGTGGTAGTCAATCACAGGACTCCATGCTTCACTTTCTCAAGACACCAAATGTGTGTCTTAGTTTGTTCTTTCTTGAACAGCGCCAGTGTCTCTGGGACCTTCACCTGGGAATGTCAGCTTATTTCACTCAGTTCACGGGCATGTGGAGATACGGTGGAGAAGGAAGTAACTCTCAAGGGTTGAAAGAACGTTCTTGGCCAGGAATAGGTATGTAAACAGAAGTTACCAGGTCGAGTCATGATGGTCATCTGTATGTTTTATTACATGCAAATGGTGATATTAAAGTGATCAAATAGAATTATGAAATCTTTGTATTTCAAATTAGTCCTTTCATGATTTTTCTATTTTAGAGCATGCCTTCTTCCTTCCTACCCAGTAAGAGTGAGGCCTTGCCTTTAAACTCTGGTGCTGAAAATAAAAAGGTAAAAACTTGTTAGCTAATAGTGTTTATGACTTTTGGCCTAGAGTTATCTTTATTTTGCTTGAAAGAGAAAGTTGTATTTAAGACTAGTTTCACATTTGTGTTTTGTTGTTGGATTTTGACAATGAAAAAAGAGTCTGCAAGAATAAAGTTTAAGTTACTGTCACATTTTATCCCCAGTAGAAATGCCTTCCTAGTATATTCCTGTCATTTGCTGTACTGTCTCATTCAGCATGGTGAATTAATTTGCTGTGAAGTGTCACATATAAACGTCATATAAAATATATGAAGCCAAAAGGTAATTAAATGTAAAGTTACATGTAATAGTGTGAAATAGATAGTCATAATAGACCGAAGCATCTAATTATAAAAATGTTTATTTTTATTTTGTTAGTTGTGTGACATTTGTGAGTTTTATGATTTACTCTCTTACTAAAAATAAATATATACTTGGACACACATACACAAAAGAATAGAGTGAAGGATGAATGATTCACAGTAATATTTGTATTTTTAAGTGTATTTTAAGAAGCATAATAATTTATGGGCTCAGTATGGTATGCACTTTCAATGCCCATACTTTAAACACAGTGACATATTTATGATTGACTGAAAAAAATCAACAATAGATAGGAAGGACAATATAGGGGTTTGCATCATTTACTGACTCGTGTTGTGTTTCTAGAGTACCAGGATCATGAGTGGGCATGATCTGAGTAGGTTGGGGAAGATATGAGTGCAAGCGTGTGATGAGCTGCACAGGGTATCCATCAAGAAAAGGGGGCAACAGATACTGATGTTCCAACCAGGAAGGACACTGTGTAGCAGGAAAACATTTGGAAGTTTGCAATATTTTAAGAGATATTTTTGGGCCAGAAGTACACTCAAGTTTTATCATGACTATCTCAGTTTTGAAAGGTAGAAAATAATCAGTGGGTGGGAATTCAGGAAGGAATTGGACAACTGTATCTTCAAGGTTTTAGAGGATTCTATATCATGGGCTGCCCTGGGGCCATTGTGTATTGGTTCAGGAAAAAGTCCAAATAGATCCATGTGAGGAGATCATTTCAGCTTCTGGTTCCAAAGGTCTGCTCTCACAGTGGTTTAGAGTGCATATCATATACATGTGAGATAAAAAGAATAGGTTGCACAGAAAGAAGAAACAAACTCAAGGGTGCATCAGCATTTAGGGAATGCTGGAAGGAAAATTAGTTAGACCTTTGGTTTTGGTATTTTTAATGTGCTATTAGATTCTCCCCCAAGGTTTAACATAGTGATTTTAAGAATCATAATCCATGATTATTTTGTTAATTTAAAAAATTTTAGATGTTATTTTTGTTTTTATTTTCCCACACTTGAGTAGCTTTTGTATGTGGTATTTTATTTCCCAGAGCTTGCTACATTTTTTACCTAGTTTTCCCAAGTTTAGTGATTTGTAGGATGGGTTACAGAAAAGGACTTTGTGATGGGTGCAGTGGCATATGCCTGTAATCCTAGCTACTTGAGATATAGAGATAAGGAGAACCTTGGCTAGAGGTCAACCCAATGAAGAAAGTTAGTGAGACCCCATTTCAACAAACAAACTGGACATGGTGGCATATGTCTGTAACACAGCTTTGTGGGAGGAGTAGAATAGGAGGATTGCATTCCAGGCTGGTCTGAGGAAAACTTGTGAGATCCTATCTGAAAAATAACTAAAACAAAAGGACTAAGGCATGGCTCAAGTAGTAGAGTGCCTGCCTAGTAAGCATGAGTCCCTGAGTGTCAGCTCCAGTACTGCCAAGAAAGAAAAGAAAGAAAGGAAGGAAGGAAGGAAGAAAGAAAGAAAGAAGGAAGGAGGGAGGGAGGGAGGGAGGGAGGGAGGAAGGAAGGAAGGAAGGAAGGAAGGAAGGAAGGAAGGAAGGAAGGAAGAAAAGGCTTAGTGCTCTGTATTCATGTGATTTCAAGTGGCAACTTATCAGACACATAATTTGTGGAATATGTGATAAAGGCTTATAAGCATTCCATAATTTTAGGAATATTCCTGTTTATACTAATATTCTCTTATTTTGGTGAACATAGCAATACTGCATCCACTAAAGCAATATTTATATCCTAAAAACTTGTTTCTTAGAACTGATTTAAAACTGTGCAATGTACCTTGGAAGATATTTTCTCTGAGTCCACTCTTGGGTATTCACCAAAGCTCATCATTGAAAGGCCAGAGGACATTTTGCAGGGCACGGATATGCATGACCAAGAGAGGGAGTAACAGGAAATGTTGCACATGTATTTGAAGAAAATGAAATTATAAAGGAAACACTTGACTCAGTAATAGACAGACAATTGTGTAGTACAATGAAGAAAGCTGGGGACAGAGTGTGGGATAGTAAGGAGGATGCTTCAGGGTGTTTCCATTTTCTCATTGGAAGCTTGTTAAGGAGAGTCTATGTGGCTGTGACTCCTAGTAACCACATTATTAATTTACTAGTGCTATTAATAAAGCCATATTAAACTGGATGATAGAATCACACATGTTTGAGGCAGGTCCATTTTGGCAAAAGATCAGGCAGTTCACAGTGGTAGACCTTTTCATTTGTTCATCTGATAATGATATCAACTATATACTAAGTGACTACATCTGTTTTATGCACTCCAGGGAAAACAAAAGAATTATAAATAAATAGATATAACATGGGTGAATGACTTTTGAGAGGTTATTCTGTTCTGAATGCTCTATGGGCCACAAACTCATGTTATGTATGCTCCTTGGCTTTATGAATTACACAAACTATTGTGATTAACACACATACAATTTACACAAAAGCAAACAAAGCAAAACAAACAAAAAACATTAAAAAACAAAATTATTTCCTTATCAAGTTTTCTTCTTTTTTTGTGGTACTGGGGTTTGAACTCAGGGCCTTATATTTATTATGCAGGTATTCTACCACTTGATCCACTCCACCACCCTCATCAAGGTTTCTCAACTATGTACTATGAACAAAGGTTAGGGAGTGTACAGTGCTGGGGATCAAACACAGGACTTCATGCAGACTTGACAAGCACTCTGCAACATGGATAAATTCCTAGCATATAAAAGACCATACATTGAGAGAAGAATCCTTGTAAAATGTGGGCAGAAAGGAAGGAGTGACCTCTTTGCAGTTACATCAAAGCCATATTTTCATAAATCTTTATTGGAAATCAAGCATCTCTTTAATTACATACTTACAAAAAAGGTCCCAATTTTGAGGTCATGTTTATAATGCAAATTATTCCAGGAAGTAGAAGTTTATGATTGTACCCTAGAAATAATATTTCTTTATTAAAAACTACTTTGGGTACCAGAAGTATTTTGGGTCCTCATAAAAAGAAGCAAGTAAAAAAATAAAAACAAACAAGAACTGAGAGAAGGAAGAGGAAAGAGACAGAGTACTGAAGGAACAGAGGCAGGGAGTCAGAAGAAAAGGATTAAGACACAGCTGTCATCACTTACTTAGTATGTGCCTTTGAGCGGCCAGGTCACATAAGCTCTCAGGAGTTGGTTTTTAATTAATGACAATAATATATGCTATATTTCAGTCATGTAACCTGATAATAGATTTTCAAATATTGGATATGATTATGTAGTTGGTAAGTACCGAAGTTAAACTTCAGGTTCCTGTCTCTAGACAGAATTACCTGAGTTTCTACTTTTCTGTATCTAGAAAGACAATAATGTACAGAGGTTAATTTTATTAGATTGAAAGGATGATTTATTTCTGAGCATCAGAGGATAGGTAAAAATTAAGAGGTATATTGTACATTTCTTCAGAATACACATATTACAAAAATAGATAAATATATAAATAGATGATAGATAAAAAAATATATAAATATCTTCTAAATCTGTAATGTACCATATGTTTTTTGTGGGTAATTGTCACTTACTGACCTTCTGTGATATGTCATCATTCTCAGCTATGCCTCAGCCTTCAAGATCATACTTTGTATATGGGGATGGTGAGGAGTGCCAATGAGAGCAGCTTGACAGGTTTCATTCTGTTGGGATTTTCTGACCATCCTCAGTTGCAGAAGATTCTATTTGTAGTCATCCTGATCTTGTATTTACTAACTATTTTGGGGAACACCACCATCATTTTGATCTCTCGCCTGGAATCCAAGCTACATACACCAATGTATTTCTTCCTCTCCCATCTCTCTTTCCTAGACCTCTGTTTCACCAGCAGTGTTATTCCCCAGCTGCTGATAAACTTGTGGGATCCCATTAGACCCATCAGTTACGGAGGCTGTGTAGTTCAACTCTATGTCTCCTCGCATTAGGATCCACTGAGTGTGTCCTCCTGGCTGTGATGTCCTATGATCGCTATGTAGCTGTCTGTCGTCCTCTCCATTACCTAGTCTTAATGCATCCCCATCTCTGCATGACCCTGTCATCTGTGGCATGGCTTAGTGGAGTGGCTACCACTCTGGTACAATCCACTCTCACCATGCAACTACCCTTCTGTGGGCATCGCCAAGTGGATCATTTCATCTGTGAGGTCCCTGTGCTCATCAAGTTGGCTTGTGTGGATACCACTTTCAATGAGGCTGAGCTCTTTGTGGCTGGTATCCTCTTCCTGATAGTGCCTGTCTCATTCATTCTGTTCTCCTATGGCTACATTGCTCAAGCAGTGTTGAGGATCAAGTCAGCTGCTGGGAGAAAGAAGGCATTTGGGATCTGCTCCTCTCACCTCATAGTTGCCATCATCTTCTATGGAACTATCATCTTCATGTATCTGCAGCCAGTCAAGAGTCAATCCAAGGACCAAGGAAAATTTGTTTCACTCTTCTATACTGTGGTGACCCCCATTTTTAATCCTGTTATTTATACTCTGAGGAACAAGGAAGTGAAGGCATCACTAAAGAAAGAATTAGGGAAGATTCTGGGAGTAAATTTCACCTGATTGTTAAAATAATTTTTAAAATGATACTGCAGTGAACATCTTTTGTGTGGAAAAATGGTATAGCATGTTTTTAAAAAGAGATTTTTTTTGATTCAGAGAATTATTTATTTATTTATTTTCCTTTTATTATTCATATGTGCATACAAGGCTTGGGTCATTTCTCCCCCCTGCCCCCACCTCCTCCCTTACCACCCACTCCACCCCCTCCCTCTCCCTCCCACCCGCTCAATACCCAGCAGAAACTATTTTGCCCTTATTTCTAATTTTGTTGTAGAAAGAGTATAAGCAATAATAGGAAGGAACAAGGGTTTTTGCTGGTTGAGATAAGGATAGCTACACAGGACATCGACTCACATTGATTTCCTGTGCGTGTGTGTTACCTTCTATGTTAATTCTTTTTGATCTAACCTTTTCTCTAGCTCCTGGTCCCCTTTTCCTATTGGCCTCAGTTGCTTTTAAGATATCTTAAAAGCCAGTACCATGCTGTTTTTATTCTTATTGCTTTGTAATATAGTTTGAAGTCAGGTATCGTGATACCTCCAGCATTGTTCTTTTGACTGAATATTGCCTTGGCTATTCGTGGCTTCCTGTGTTTCCATATGAATTTCAAGGTAGATTATTCGATCTCTTTAATGAATGTCATTGGAATTTTGATGGGAATTGCATTAAACATGTAGATTACTTTTGGGAGTATCGACATTTTTACTATGTTGATTATACCAATCCATGAACATGGGATATCTCTCCACTTTCTATAGTCTTCCTCAATCTCTTTCTTCAGAAGTGTATAGTTTTCCTTGTAGAGGTCTTTCACATCTTTTTTTTAGGTTTACACCTAGCTATTTGATTTTTTTGAGGCTATTGTAAATGGAATTGTTTTCATACATTCTTTGTCAGTTTGCTCATTGTTAGTTTATAGAAATGCTTATGATTTTTCTATGCTACTTTGCTATAGCTATTGATGATGTCTAGAAGCTTCTGAGTAGAGTTTTTTTGGGTCTTTAAGGTATAGGATCATGTCGTCTGCAAATGGGGATATTTTGATAGTTTCTTTCCCTATGTATATTCCTTTTATTCCTTCTTCTTGCCTAATTGCTCAGGCTAGGAATTCCAGTACTATGTTGAATAGGAGTGGAGATAGTGGGCATCCTTGTCTGTTTTCTGATTGTAGAGGGAATGGTTTCAGTTTTCCTCCATTAAGTATAATGCTGGCTGTAGGTTTGTCATATATAGCTTTTATAATGTTGAGGTACTTTCCTTCTATTCCTAGTTTTCTTACAGCTTTTATCATGAAATGGTGTTGGATCTTATCAAAGGCTTTTTCTGCATCTATTGAGATGATCAAGTGGTTTTTGTCTTTGCTTCTGTTAATGTGGTTTTTTACGTTTATTGATTTTCGTATGTTGAACCACCCCTGCATCCCTGGGATGAAGCCTACTTGGTCGTGGTGAATAATCTTTTTGATGTGTTGTTGAATTCGGTTTGCCATTATTTTGTTGAGGATTTTTGAGTCAATGTTCATTAAGACAATCGCCTATAGTTCTCCTTTTTGGAGGTGTCTTTGCCTGGTTTTGGGGTAAGTGTAATACTGGCTTCATAAAATGTGTTAGGCAGTTTTCCTTCCCTTTCTATTTCATGGAACAGTTTAAGGAGGGTTGGTATCAGTTCTTCTTTAAAGGTCTGATAGAATTCAGCAGAGAATCCATCAGGTCCTGGACTTTTCTTTTTGGGGAGACTCTTGATTGCTGCTTCAATTTCATTTTGTGTTATAGATCTATTCAGGTGATTAATTTCCTCTTGGTTCAGTTTTGGATGGTCATATGTATCTAGAAATCTGTCCATTTCTTTAAGATTTTCAAATTTATTTGAATATAGGTTCTCAAAGTAGTCTCTGATGATTTCCTGGACTTCAATGGTATTTGTTATTATCTCCCCTTTTGCATTCCTAATTCTACTAATTTGGGTTTTTTCTCTCCTCATTTTAGTCAGGTTTGCCAGGGGTCTATCGATCTTGTTTATTTTTTCAAAGAACCAACTTTTTGTTTCATTATTTCTTTGTATGGTTTTTTTGGTTTCTATTTCGTTGATTTCAGCTCTTATTTTTATTATTTCTCTCCTCTTTGTTTTGGGATTTGCTTGTTCTTGTTTTTCTAGGAGTTTGAGATGTATCTTTAGGTCATTGATTTGGGATCTTTCAGTCTTTTTAATATATGCACTCATGACTATAAACTTTCCTCTCATTACTGCCTTAGCTGTGTCCCATAGGTTCTGGTAGGTTGTGTTTTCATTTTCATTGACTTCCAGGAACTTTTAAATTTCCTCTTTTATTTCATCGATGATCCATTCTTCATTAAGTAATGAGTTATTTAGTTTCCAGCTCTTTGCATGTTTTTTTTCTACTTTTGTTGTTGAGTTCTACTTTTACTGCATTGTAATCAAATAGTATGCATGGTATAATTTCTATTTTCATATATTTGCTGAGACTTGCTTTGTGCCCTAGGATATGATCTATTTTGGAGAAGGTTCCATGGGCTGCTGAGAAGAATGTATATTGTGTAGAAGTTGGATGAAATGTTTTGTAGACATCAACTAGGTCCATTTGATCTATTGTATATTTTAGATCTTGGATTTCTTTATTGATTTTTTTATTTGGAGCTTTCCTGCTCCTGGTTGCTGGGCGTGCACTTCCACTCCCACCAGAGGCTCTCCAGCCAGGCCAGCTTGTTTATTTACAGTATCTGGAAGGATTCCTTTCCCCCAATCTTCAGCGCTCAGTGCACCTCACCCTCTTTCCTGTGTGTCTTTATTGCTCTTATTGCTTATTACTCAGTTTCTCTTTTTTTCCCAGGGAGGTGGTTGGTCTGTCCAGGGGGCTATGCTGCTCTGGCCCAAGCTAGTCTGTGGGAGTACCGCATACTGCAAAGCTCACTTGGTCCGTGTCTTCCCAAGCTGTCTGGGCGCCAGCAACTGGCTACCCTGGGGCCCTCCTGGTTTCTCCATTTAATGTAAAGTGGAGATTCTCTGCGCCGGCTGGAGGTGTGGAGCGGTCAAAGTTATGCCTCCTCTCAGTTATTATGCCTGCAAAGTGTGTCTTCAGCGTCTCTCCAAGATTTCACTATAGGAGGCTCACTTTCTGCTTCCTCCCTCTAGCCACCATCTTGGAATCCTCTGAACCCAACATTTAAAGAAGGTAGACAATAGGAAGAAATTGCCACAGCATCAGTCACTCTAAGAATTTTCTTCAGATAATTTTAGTATCAAGTTCCTTTGGAGCAAAGAAGGATGCTTATAGTTAAACCAAGTTATGACCAAGTTATGTGTTTTCCAAGGCACAAGTAAAGGAATTAACTTTAGGTAAAAGAAAAATGTTCCTTACTGTGTCTGGAATAAAGGAAGAAGTGTATAATGGAAGTAAGTTCTTTTAAATCTACATCAGATAAATCTTCATATTTTCTATATGAAGAGTTCACAGGATGATATTAAAGAGAGAAAAATCCTTCACACTAGGGAAATAAGTGATTCATTCTTTCTGGATCATCAGGAGAAGTTAGTTTTTCTACTAATTGTATACTGAGGTCACAAGCTTTCCCAGAGGACAGAATAACCATCAACAGTGGCACTCCCATTAGCTTGCCAAATCTGCCATTTCTGATTCACTTTTCTCTCCATGTTTTTATTACCACTAAAATAGTCCCTCAAGGTAAGAAAATTAGCTCATGATACATGTTAGATATTGTGTTAGAAACATGATTCTTAAACATGATTCTGAGTTGTTTGCAACTCAGTTGTGTGTCTGAGAAACTTGTCCAATACAAAATAACAAAGCTAAGAAAATATTATATAACTTACTTCCTGAATGTGGGAAAAATAATGACAAGTTTAAATAGCCTTGATTGTAAGAATTCAATCTGCTGGAGTCTAAATTGAATACATATTATTTTGAGAGTTTTTTTAATAAAAATTAATATCAACCAAAGAGTTTCCATTACTTTTTAGTTTGTCCTATCATTAAGGGTATGGCGTTACTGAGTGAGGTAGGAAAAGTCTCTGGATTTTAGTTTTTATCAAATTGTGGATGGGACAATTTTTTGGTATTCCTTATAAGTACAAGTTGATATCATGCAATTAGTATAACTGATTAACATATTTGAATTAAGCTAAATTTTATTTATAGAAACAACATAACTGATAGATAATGGATATATAAGTATTGATAGATAGCCAGAAAGAGGAAAAATGAGAGAAGTATACATTCAATTCCATAATACTATAACTCCATAACTCAAGTGAAATACTCAGTTCCAGGTGATTTCATCCTGTTGTTAAAAAATGTTACTGATCAGAATTTTCATAAAGAAAAGGAGCATATATAAGTTTTCAGCCAAAAAGGGTACAGGTAATAAGCCAAGTGCCATGCACCAGATCAAATGGAAAGATGCTTTCAAGGCATCTCAAGAATCAACAAAGCCATAGCTATCATAATCTCAAAGATTAGAATAACAAATGTGTTTCAAAGACCTTCATTTAATAAATGAGACCCAAAGAGCCCTGAATGCTCAGCAAGACCAAGGGATTAATTCTCACATGTTTACTGAGCAAGTCACTCACAATTCAATGCAGCTGTAGTTCAAGAAAGCCCAGGAATAGAACACACTAGTGGCAGACTTTGATATTGTTCACATGATGCTGACTTTGAAGGTATGCAAAGATACAAAAGTTATGGGACCATAGACGCTTCCACCAAAATTTCTAAGGAAAATCTGGGAGACCAGGTGGTATGGTGCAATGTTGGCTTCCCTGCCAGCTTCCTCTGAGGATGAAGCCTGGAGCCATATGAGTGAAGCTGCATTGGAGATCCTAGGAAGAAAACAGTTGCTAGGAAGATGGAACACTTGCTGAGGTAATATGCAGACAGTGAGCAGAGCCAGCCTAAGAAGAATTGCTGTATGGGCTGTAACAGCCATGGAGGTGGGGTTCTCCAAGCCCTTGGGAGTCCACAT